ATCCCCAAGGACTGTTCGTGACTGGTTTTAAACACACGTTCGGGATAAGCTAAAAGTTAATTGTATCTATCGGCGGCCTTAATTTAGCTGGTTTGTACGTGTATCACGTAGAAATCGCAAAATGCGGGAAAATATTTTGCCAGAGTAGTAAATTAGTTGGTTGCCGGGCGCGTTATTACATGTTGTCACCCGGCCAATTGCCAGCGAGTTTTTCCGCGGTTTTTTGTCTTCGTCGATTTGCACGACAAATTGTAAGATAGCGGAGAAGAGTGACACGCGAGAAGGTGCATGCACGCGCGTGTTGCACCTCGGGTGTAATGGCGGGTACGTCAACGGATCCCTGCATTTACTACTGACATACTCTTTGCCAGTCGCGAGTGAAGATGTGGAACGAAGTTTTAGGAGCTTACAATCTGACATATATTTAACACGAAGTGCTCTGTTCTACGCTCTGACTACTCCGCGGAGCATCGGTGAAACGAAGAGCCTGAATGCACCAACGTGTGCTTATGTAAACTCTGTGCCATCGGTTTACTTTGATATTCGTTTAAGTAACTTTTCTCTTTTCAGAAACTCGATTATGTTTGCACTTAAATGATTTAAGAATGTTGGTAATAGTTCGCACTTAGGATTAATACCACTTGGCTATTATCGCACAGATACACTCTGAAATAGCACGAGCCGTCACATCGACGTCAAAGATTGATCGCGCCAGACCACAGCATTGAACGTCGGCGCATTGATAAACTTGATTGCCGTCAAATTGTATCGAACCATTCTTTACCGTCAAGAACGTTGAAAAATGTATCCATCACTTACATCTCGAATGCTATCGCTTACAATAAATAAATAGACGGCTCTTTCATTGCTTCAAAACACGAGACCAATGTAAACTACGTATTAATCTAAGATCGCTTAAAAGCTTTTACGTAAACCAATTGATTGAACAAATAGCTGGCCAATTCCTACGTTGCGAATATTTTCGCAACGAAAAAACAGGATGAGCTATTAGCCGCGCCAAGGTATGCTTTGCTCTTTTCACTGACCTCTAGCCAGTAACGACAACGCGACCCTATAGATGTAGAGTGTTGGTCGAACCCTCGACTTTGTATGCACGGAAAGCCGCTTTACGACGTCAACGAAGGGGACACGCGCGGTTCGGTTGGATGCCAGCCATGATAATATGTAATGCCTGTATAGAGCCAAGTGCTTGATCGCGAATCTTTGAAGTCCGAACTCTAGCTTCCCAAGCCGACAAACCCGAGCCGCCGACGCTGCGCGGTGCCGGCGATCAAGTATTAAAAATCGCTTGGTAAAACTATGAGAAAACCAAACACACGCGTCGCGCGGTTCTCGTACTTACTCGTGAGTGGACCGCAGTCATATTCGTTGTTTTTTCGGTACGTGGAACGGGTACGAGTTGAACGTATATACGGGCGAGCACCTGTGGCCACTTTAAACGATGCCGTGGTAAACGGTAGTCGGGATAGATTGAACGGTCCGATAGGGTTTTAGCCTCTCTTCTTTCGCCGTCAGGATCCCGAGACTCGCGCTTTTAACCCCTCAACTCATTAGAGGCCATAACTCTGTTCAGCGAAACATTTTACGTTCACTGCCGTTCGTGCGATGTACGTAGTACGTGTAACCACCGAAAGGAACCATTATATACCATGCTTTAGCGTGCGACGACGCACAGGTACCTATCTCTCATGTTCCGAACGAAATTTATTCCTCGAACGCGTGGTCGCAGACTGATTACTATGCACGTTAATCGAGATTGACCCACCTCAACATATTATGTACCGTATAATACCTGCGAACCGTAGTAACTGCACCGAGTCCAACGCACGTGATGCGACGGTCCCAACGGTGGTCTCGGTCCTCTTCTCGTGACAGTTTTTTGGACGATCATGAAACGACAACAAGTTCAACTAGCAACGTTATGTGTTATTGCCGGTTTTTCTCACGGACCTCCCACCGTTCATCTAACGAGACCACCGAAGGTACGGCCACTAAAAACCGCGCAAGAAACCTACCAAAGTACGCTCTTTATACGGGATGTTTTATATCGTTGCCAATTCGAGTGAGTGCAGCAGCCCGCTCCAATTATGGACGAATATATAAGTCGCTCCCTGTCGGATATATAGGTACGCGTACGCCATTGCGACCACTTTATATGGCAAAAACGATAGAAAGTCGCGAAGTCCGTCATCGGGTTCAGCTCGAATTTACTGTTACCCGACGGCGTTGCTTCGCCATCCGTGGAGAGGACGGCATGATCTAGATGCCATTTTTTGCCGGGAACGGGAGTGCATTTGCGCCTCCGCTTTTCTCAGTCCGCGCGGTGCGTGCGTGCGCGCACGCGGGTAACTTGCGACGTGACGACGCGACGCTACGTTCCACGGGAATTCCTGTCGCAAAAACCGTGCCGGCGCTAAATGCACCGTGGAACACATTCCACTAGACCACAACAGGAAGCAAATTCTTTTTTCAAATGGAGCCAAAGATAGAGAAGCGAGTCCTGGGACATCAGCAATCGTTGTACATTACTAAACATTCGTACGCGAACGGAAGAAGAAAAGCCTGCGTCGAAACAGCAATCTCCGAAGATTATAGAAATCGGCGGAAACAGTACGTTACATAATGAATTCTTATGCGCGTACGCGTGCAACAAAAAAAGCATTCCTGTGTTTCATTGTCCAAGAATTAATTAAAACGACGCGAGAACAAACGAGCCGGGAGAGCGCGAGGCAACGTCGTGCGACGGTGGAACGAAAGAAAAGGAGCTTGCGGTTCTCTCGTCGGAATCTCAGCGGCGACATATCACTGGGCGGTAGATCACACGAACTCTTTTGCAGTTTGCACCGGGACGGATAAAGCGCTGCAGCAGCGGTTGCATCAGGGGCCCGGCGCTCATCTTTTACGTATGCACGAGCATAAGCATAACGCAGGCGAACATGGGTAGATGATATCGTGGATGCACCTACGGGGCCACGGGGCGTCGACGCGATTCCTTTGTCCTCGTACCCGGCCGCTGGTTCTTCTTGCTGCGGACCGCTCTCGCCCCCGGACGACCTCTTTGGTACACACGTTTTGTTCGCGAAAATACCACGGCCAATCTCGAGCATCAATCCCGCCCCGGGTTTAGAATCGTATCAAAAGAACACGCTGCGTGTTGGCTACCGCATGGAGGAGATTACCATCTGATCTCCGCGCGATCCTTGATACTGTTATTTGCTTGGGAACGATTTTTCTTCTTGTCTCCGGAGACGCGAGTCCGTATCCTCGCGGTTGTAATTATTTTAATCGAGACGATCTCTGATCGTGATGACCCTCGTAATTGATGTTACAAAGTATTCGCTTAATGCTCGTACGTGGTCGCCTTTAAAAACGTTATCAGTCGTTTTGCCAAATTTAATACGTTGGCCATTAACGAAGTCACTGAAAAATCGTCTCGCTTGTGAAACGTTTGATACGGACCCCTGAGCGGCGGAGCCGAGCTCAATCATTACTCGTCGTTTCATTAGAATATCGTCGATAAAAGGAGTTTAATTATAAAGGCACAACGACGCTTCCTGTTCGCGAACACGCACAGGCGTACAAAACTTCTGCGTGCTGCACGCATATTGTCCCCCTCATTGCGCTCCCCTTTCGACTTTCTTACCATCCGTATATTTTTACACACATCGGTGATTAGTAAGGCCATTTTCTTCATTACAAGAGATTGTTGCGAAGAACCGTTCTTATTACAACTTAGCGATCAAATAGATAATCTTATTAAAGGCCGTACATATTATGCAAATAACCGAGTTATTTCGGTTCGCATATCCACACGTTGTACCTACCGATTAAATCAACGTCATTAAGATATTTTACTATTCGATCTTGTTAAGTCCAGTTAAGTAACTTGCTCGTAGATCGTATCTGTCCACCGATCCTCTTTAATGTGCATTGACAACGAAACACAAGATTTCTTATTCTTTTCGTGTTCAATTAAGACCACGATGTCTCGAACGTGTAATTTTAAATGATACTTCCTAAGATTCTGAAGCAAAACCTTAGTCCATCGAATAATTATTCAGAGAACAAGTGCCAAGTTCCAAGATGTACACGTCAGATAGACACAAAGTAAACTGATGTGTTTCGCCCGAGCTGTTAAACTGATCAGAAACGTCATAATAAAAAACTAAAATTGATCATTCGATCGGTCATCGTTGATGCGTGTAAAAGCACTTAAATGACAGTGTTTAAAACTGCATCTGGCTATCCACGGTTATTCGCATTAGTTTGTACGACGGGTTCGTCGGCCGGATGCTTTCACCGACGGAATATAACGCGTCGGACTGCTAAAAGGTTTTACGAATCGTCTATTTGCGGGTAGAATCAAATATCTAGCAGCACAGCCGCCGTCTCGTGCAGTTATTACCGTTCGATAGTTTCGGTGAAAAATCTGTTTTTGCTGGGCACTGCGCGACGTGGGACGCGGTCTAACAGCTGGATCGCGCGTTACATATTTCACCACGTTGTACACAATTATAACGCAATTAAATTGACTGGTATTATATGCGTTATGCATGAGCCGTAACGATTGCACTCGTTACTAATGATGTTAACTATTTTTTTGCACCGCGAAGTATGATTACAGCTCGTTAGTACGTTATTAAAGAATAAAATTATACGTTGCGTATGTGTATGCATTTTCACGCATACGTAATTTTTATTTGCATTTCGAGGTAGCAATTTAAACATCCTACAACGACACTACGCCACGAAAGGTTATATTGTTTATAACAATACTATTGCGCACATTATACTACGGATTAACGAATTCACGTGCTTTGTGATTGACTTTAATTCGTGTTTCGTGTGAAAAGTAATAATTCGCAGTACTTACAGTTAATGTTCGTCGAGATCTTCTTTTATTTCGTGTCACTTTTTCTGCATGCTTTCTTTCCACACACGTACACTTTATCACGCGACACAGAAGTCGCATTTACCGACGGTGCCGCAAGAGGATGGTGGCGCTGCTGTGCCGACCAGCAGTGGCCAAGATGGCGACGCCCAGTGAGCTGTCTATCGAGGAGATACGCAAATATTTATTGGAAAACGGTGGCACCGCTCGTAATCACGACGTAGTGAAGCACTTCAAGAAGTTCCTAACAGACCCAGAAACGCGAGGTAGGCTAAATATCCGACGCACAAGGCGCACGGTTCGCTGTCTTACTTTTCGTAAGGTGTGACCTAAAAGTGACGATGTGCCGTGTGTAAACATGGGACGAACGTTGACGCTTGTCACACTAGAATACTTTAGAGGTGAACAGTGCGTATATTTACGTTGCAGTTGAGGCACGGAATCGGTTCAAGGAGTACGTGAACACCCTCGCTACGATAAAGAACGAAGAGGTACGTCATCGAACGATTTCCTTATTTCTTGACAGGAGCGACTTGTTGCGCGTTTTGCGACGTTGCCGGTTTTTCTACTATCTCTCGGGATTCATGAAAAAAACGCTTGTTATCAACAACACGTTTTATTTTTATTGAACGGAATTTATTGTTAATACTGTCTAATAATTGTATGCCCTACGTGTTTGCTTTCGTGGTTTGAGAAGATTCCGGATTTATTTGAATACTAGAGGATTGACCTCCGAATCTTATTTTTTTTATCATATGTTCTATTGTTAGAAAGATGTAAGATTAACAGAAATGTCGGTGCACAGTGTTTGAATATTTGAACTGGATCGTTCGCGTCATTGGAGCTACTTGACGAGGTTCAACAAAAAATTGTTTGTGCAGGGTGAGAAATACTTAGTGCTCAAGAAGAAGTATCGTGAAAATTCATTGGAACTGACGATCCCAGAGCCGTACGAATCGCCCATCGCTAGCCCTGACATAGCTGCACCGGTTTCTCCTTTACGAGTTCCACCACCTTATAGGCCTCCGCCACCCGCACCCCTGAGTCCGTCGGTGAATAACGCGAGCACGCACGAGGAGTCGTGTTCGAATTTCGCACGCGAAGAGACCGCGATCGACGCGCGAAGAAATGGAGTCGATCCCGACGAGACCGGATTTTCAACGTCGTCGCCTCCCGTACCACCACGCCGTAAAAGTCAAGATAAGATCAAGATCGAGAATAAGGAGAACGTCGACAGGAACAGGGGAGGATCGGAGGCGGTTATCAAGGTGAGTTTTTTCCTCGCACATTATTTATTAAATATGTGTGGCAAAAAGTAAAGAACGTGAAGTTTTATCTATGTTACTCGAAGCCGAATAAAGAATACTATTAAAAAAAAGAGTTGATTAGAAGGATAGATTTTTTCTGTTATTGTAAAATAAGATAATTTGATAAAATTTCAAGTTCTTTACGTTCGTCCAATGTACGTACATATATGTTGTTCACGGTTTCGTGGTTGGTGGTTGTACTTGTAAATAAGTATGCAAACGATAATATGGTTGAACACGTCTTCGCTTTATCGGTTAATTAGGGAGTCTAGATAATTTGGGTGTTATTGAGCAATAGCGTTAAGCGCGTAGAAAGGTGTTCGCCGTTACAGTAAATGTCACTTAAGCAGTATGATAGAGAAGGTAGTGTAGTCAGCAGTGATGTTCGTGTATCGAAAGCTTAACGTCCTTGCATAACAATATAACAGCAATAGAATCCGTATACACGTTTCGTAGACGATAGAGCTTTAACTCCAAAACTCCACGGCTATTCAGCATGCTTCAATATACACCTTGTGTACGTAATATTATTCGCCTTAGTTAGTAGCATGATACAATACCGTAGATAAACATTCGTTTCCAATAATATTCTTATCGCCGAATTTTCGTATTTTACACATGATCTCACATTTTTGCACTGTTATTGTCTCCCTTGTTGATGTCACGCCTTTAGTAAATATGCAGACGTAGTTAAACGTAGCATTTCTTCGCGTCATTATGCTCTGAGACGTAGCAATTCGGGATATTGAACGTGCAGGAAGATGAGGCTGTACCGGCGAGTCCCGGCTCAACCGAGCAATTAAGCTTTCGCGAGCGGATGCAACGTTTCAACCGGATGGCTAGCGAAACCGATCTTCAGGGCAGATCGAACGGCGCTATCACACCTACTAAAAAGCGATCAGACAAGGTAAATCGATAATCTTCTAATAATCTTTGTTTGTTCCTGTTCCTGAGTGTCGCGTCCTCGTCTTGATTGCGCAAAAGTCGCACAACAATTATTCCCCTTTCGTTTACGAGATCGTACCTCGTACAATACGTATCCGTACAGTTCATTGACTAACAAATCGCGTTGAGCATTCCATCACCGCTTCGGAAATACATTCTCTGCGCTATAAGGTGCGCCTGTCTAATCGTGATTGGTAATCGGTGGCTCGGTTGAAATACGGAGTCAAACTATTGCAAAATTCAACGGCAAGATACGGCCGGGGAAAGTAGCGCGTGGCTGATTATGAGTGAAAACGTATTCAAAGGGGAACAACGAGTGATTATTGCGGGGATCATGGATATTGATATTTATTATTAATACTATGGGCCTTATGCGCGGCGTTAATTACTCGACGGTGCTGCGTGTGCATGCGGGTTCGAGTTACGCATTCAAACAGTTGCCTATTAAACGTACAAACGGCGTAATCGCGCAGCTAATGTTCTGACGTACTCCTCTCCCCTCGTATAAGATATCGACAAATCACTTTGCTCTAACAGAAAGCCCCTGCTATCTCGTTATGATCTTCACGCGGATGTAATTCATGTGAGAACACGCATCAAGTTGTTCTACGGCTATAAATAAGTATCTTTTAGTTCCCCGAGATAAGATCGGCTAATAACACCACGCGTTTTTAAACGTTCCGCCTTCAAATCGTAGTTATCTATCTGCGAGCATCCTATTGCGCGTTTGACACTGAGTTATACGACAAAAAGCGAACGATTCGAGGCACTGGCTGTCGATATATCGAATAATCCACACGCAAGGATACGCGTTTCATCCTCTTTTTTCAGTGAGGAAGGGACGCGGTGCGTACAAGTCTGACTGCTCATCTTGCATACCGAATAGACTACTAAGAATCCTTTTCTCGTATCCTTTACACGCGCGCCTCCGCGCCAGTCAGCTCCTTTGCATCCTCCTCCTTCTTCTTCTCTGCTCTCCCGCCGTTTCTTCCTTCTTTCGTTCTCTGTCGTTGTTTCTGCGCCGTTTATCGCAGCGAGTAATATTCATCGCATTTGAATATCCTGCGGGCGGTATCTCGCGTACCGATCAGGATGTTGCGTCGATGTTGCTGTAAATCATAATTAGCCGCGCCTGAAAATTAAAAGTGGAGGAGGAGGTAGACGGGAAAGGGACCCTTTCCGCCGTGGCCGCAAAAGCTTGCACGGGCACCGCAACCGCTCGCTCGTCTTTTACGTCTGCTCGATTCTTCATCATAATTTCGATATGTTTATCGTGCCGAACGATTAAAAGAGCCGGCCACGTGGAACTGTTCGTGGCAGTCAGAAGGAAGGAGTGCCCTTGCGCTTCGCTCCACCGCGGCACAACTCGCCGATAAAAACATGCTCCGAGAACGCCGAAACGTTCGCTTCTTTCCATAAATTTTCGTATTCCTTGTACAAGTGTTTTTGTACAATAGAACACTTTCTGCATGATGTGCATTCATCTTCTGAGAGAAACGTTCAACAATCTTTCAATTCAATAAAAAATATCATCCGATATTTTAAGTATACGTAATTGATATGATAGTTAATCGGTGATAGAAATCGTCTTTCGTCTACGCACTGTGAAGAAGCCTCGCGGGTGGCGCGTGGGTCGAACCATAATTATTTATTATTCAGCTGTCATCATCTATTTGTGGCGGTCCGTCTTTCATGTACGCTTTCAACCGGTCGGTTGTTAATTTTTATTAGTCGTGAACGTGGTTAGGATTTCGGGACACACCGAGAGAATCCTCTCGCCTCCGGACATCCTGTAATCTCTTGGGAGCTCTTTCTCGAGAGGCAGGCCGTCCGCCCTGCGTCAACCGGCGATTTCTTCGCGGTAATTATCATGCGGCGTGGCCGTGGTATTTCACCCTTCGCATCCTCAATGAGCCCTGTGTCTAACGTTGTGTCGCGTGCCGCGTCGTTTACCGGCCGGCCGATTGCCGCATCAACACGTTTCACGTAATTTTCCGTCGTGCTTTCTTCGAAAGGCTCGTTATGGGTCATTGAATGCAGCCGCACGATACGTGATGAATGCTTATAGTACCGTGACGTCGGCGATTAGGGAGCTCTGGGAATCGTGAAAGGGAAAACTTTCACACGATTGAAAGTGAATTTATATAGATACTGACTTTATATTTTTGCAGATTATAGTCACATGTTTGATGTTATTAGAGCGTTATTTTAGTAGTTTGCTTCTTTAAATTTTCTAGTTTGTTTCTTGCTTGTTTTTTAATATTTTTTATTCGGTAGTATTCACTTTTTATCTTGTCTCTTTGTGCATGTAATTGCAGTGGATTGACGATTTGAGCATCTTGATCGTACATTTAGAAACTCTCAATATGTTTATGATTAAAATTACGAATAGTGTTGAATAAACACGTCAGATTTGGAGCAGGACGATTAACACGATGCTCCTGCATCACCAAATCGTTCGGTGCTTCAACGTTCACGTTAACGAAAGGAAATATTAAAACGATGCCGGAAAGTTAATGCGGTTATTCGTAGTCACCGCGTTTACGTGCTACGGGGACTTGTGGCTCGTTTTTATGTAAATACGCTGAAAATGTGGGTGGTAAAGAATACTATTAAGCGTTGTACCGCCGTGAGAATTTCCGTAATCGTATACACTCCATCCTTTCTACGAATACGGTGTCCCTTATAACAACTATGACGTTACAGTCGTGTTTAGACACGACGCGAAACAAACTAACGATTAGATGGATACCGTCTCTCTCTCTCGTTAGTTTTTCGACTACTTTACGTAGTTTTTCAGCTACTTCGAGCTTTCTTCCCCGAACTTGGGTTGTTCAAGAACTCGCGAACAGTATGTCTCGCGATACTCGGGGCAACAAGAAAGCCGCTTTTAGTTCGACAAGGGGTGGAGGACGCGTTCTAATTAGGATCACGCGTGTTCGCCTCTTCTACCAGCCGAGTCTTCTCGGTAGCAGTTCGTCCTTTACCTCGTAGCAAGTAAAAGAGCGAGACCGGGTTGCGAGATACTCATCGTAAAGGCACCTAACACGGCCATGCCGAACTTGGAATTTCTCTCGTATAGTTTCGCATACATTAGGGATCCTCTAGGTGAAACTTGCCGGGTAGTTTGCCTCCTGGCAAAAGGAGCAGCGAGCTCTCGCAGAGCTGCGAGGGCTGCTAGGTGTGTTGAAGGACAAGCAGCGGAACGGGAGAGGCTGGGTCGAGGGTGTAAACCGCACAAAGTAATCTTACAGAATGTATATGCAAAGAGGTTCACGGGCGAGGGGTGAGGGGTGCGGCCTGCATGATCCTATCCGCGACAACACCGACAAGACACCCCCAGAGGCAAACTTACCTCATAGTTCGAAGAGTCTCCGACCTTCGCTCGCTATCACTCGTCTTCGTGGTGTTTTTTATTCCGGTTACGAGACCGCGCTTTCTTGATAGAATTTAATCGTTAAACGCCATCAAGATTCGCCTGCAAGCAAGCTCAAATTAAGGATGTATTGGCTATACAGTCAATCCCAGAAGTTTATGTACCTTAGAGAAACGCATTTCCTATAATTAAAAAGAAATCAGACGTCGGAAGAATAATGCTAATAATAAATAGCTACGTGCTAAAAAGTATAGAAGGAAATATCTAATTAAGTATCGA